TCTCTCTCTCTCTCTCTCTCTCTCTCTCACACACACACACACACACACACACACACACACACACACACACACACAGGTGGAAAGAAAAGGAAAGAGAACAAGCAGCTTGGAGCTGAACGGCTGAACTCACGGGACGGGAAATTTCGGGATCAAGCGTACTCTCTCTCTCCCCCCTTCTCACCAATCTCCCCGTATTGAATCTGCTGTCGATTGTCTTCCTTTTTCCCTTTTTCCTTGTCTTCGTATTTTTCTTCGTTCCTTTTTTTCGTTTTCTTTCTAGATAAATGCAATAATAAAGGAACTTCTTTTAGACTGCCCATGTCGTGGGCCTCAAAGAAAACCATCGACTTGGAACAAATTATGGGGGCAGCTCACTCTTTGACTGTGACAAAAAAGGGGGCCGAGTAGTGGGCGATTAGTGGACGCCTCGGGCCGACAATGAGCCTTTGCTTTGTTGTTTCTGTTTTCCTTTTTTTTTTTTTTTTCATTCTGCTTTTGTTTCCTTCTTTTCATTTCTTCCTTTCCTCTTTTTTTCCTTTTTTTTATTTTTGTTCTCTTCTTGTTTTCACGACCGTAAGATTACTGCGTCAAACATGTGGGTAGGAGCGGAGGCTTCCATCGAAAGGATGCTATTCCTAATAAGGGGCCACAACTATATTAGAATAGAGCGTAGGGGATACTATCATCAGACCATCGTTCGATAATTGGTTCTGACAACGGGTAGAGCACGGTGAATTCCGGTTTTGCGCTACGCAGGTTGAGTGTGAGGACGCGCAACATGGACTTCTTCGTGGACTGGGACCTGGAGGAGGAACAACAGAAGATGGAGGAAGTGGTACCGTCCCCAATAAGCGGCACCCTCTTGGTTTTGTATTCACAACCCTGCGCCTAATCGCGCCCTGGCCGAGCGTCATGCAGACCGCCACCACCTGGCCCGCCGAATCTGCTATGCCCTGCCTGTGCCCCTTCACGCCTGTGCTAAGTACTGCTTTCGCTTTTCTCCTTTTCATCGCTCTACTTGTGAATCTCGCCATAGCCGAAATACTCTTTCTCACAGGCCTCTCTGAAAAAATCTTTCTTTGCTTACCCTCTAAGCGCTTTGCAATGCTGATTGGGGGTACCATCTGCTTGGTGACGCTCTTGCTGCCTATTCCTTGAGCTCGGCATTGCTCATTGGCTTGCTGATTAACAAGGGGGAGTAGTGAGAAGCAAGGGCGATGGAGCACAGAGCGGCGACGGATACCTCTTCATGCATAGTTTTTGCTTTCCTTTCCTTCCTCTTCTTCCTCTCTTTTCTCTACGTCACCTGCTCCCTTCCGTGTCCCTCTCCACATGAGCTCTCTTCCCCACTCTACCCCTCCCCAACTTTCCCCCCCCATCCCCAAAACCATCCATCATCCCCATCTCGCAACATCCCCCCTCGTACCCTTTCACCCTCCCCCTCACCTTCCACAGACCATGGGAGATGCCCCTCCCTCTGACGACGCCCCACATGGCATGGGGTAGAAAAGCGCTTCAAGGAACTGCCATGCCCTTCCCGCAATTCGACGAGATGATCCATGCGGATACAGGACCACAATGGATCTGGAGGATAAAAATGAAGCGGGATCCTCTCCCCTTCCCCTTCCCCCTTCCCTCTTCTCTCCATCCCTCGTTGGAATTATGTGGACGGTTGATGGCAAGTAAAGTGAGGTCTGCAATGTAATCAGCTTCTTTTCATGTTAAGGGCATTCAATTTTTCTCAATGGTGATGGCAGAATGATATTCGTAGTACGGTTATGAATCTTTATGGTGCAATCTAGTCTCTCTCTCTCTCTCTCTCTCTCTCTCTCTCTCTCTCTCTCTCTCTCTCTCTCTCTCTCTCTCTCTCTCTCCGCCTGATTGCTACAACTTCCCAAATGTGTATCTCTCAGTCATACGAAAAGAAAGGTTCCTCCCTCCTTTCCCTCTTCTTTGCTAAAAATGCCCTTTCCATTCTCTCCTCCTTCCTTCTTTCTCTCTTTCTTTCTTTCGTTCTTCTTTCTTTCCTTCCTTCTCTCTTTCCTTCTTCTTTCCTTTTTTTTTCCTTCTCTTCTGTTTCCTTTTTCCTTTTTTCTTTCTCTCCTTTTGCCGTTCTTCCTTTCGTCTATTCCCCCTCCCCCTTTTTCTTCCCTCTTCCCTCTCCCTCTTTTCGCTTCTTCTTCTTCTTATCCCTCTCCCTCCCCTCCTCCCCTCTCTCTCGTTTTCATATTTTTCGAATGTCTTCCTCTCTTTCTATCCATCAGGGCGATCTCATTAATGTGGACTTTGGTTGCTGACAATAATTCCAACAACAATTTGCGAATCCATGTGTGGGGCTTGCTTTTGTTTGAAATGACCTGTTAGAGAACTGTGATGTACATTGTGGCTGAAATACGGATATATGCTTGATGGGACCGATTTGGGAGGGATGAAGTTATTACACGTGCTTGATTGCTCCTCAAAGAAGGGCACCTCCACCCCCTTCGCTTCGTCGCTACTTTTGCGTAGTTGGCTGCCTTCGACTTAAACGGCCTTGTTCTGCCATCGCCACAAATGGAGACACGATATGGTTATACCCTGCCGCGTTGATCGATCGCCCCCGCAACTTGCACCTTTCTCATGGTGTGCCGACGCACCTAGTCGGAGCAGTGCGGATATGACGTGTCGTACTTGTGCGTAACTCATGTGACACACACGTGCTACACACACACAACACACACGCATGCACACACACACACACACACACACACACACACACACACACACACACAGTGCTTCATTTTTGCCGCAGAGCCACAAAAACCGAGTACTCCAAATTTGACTTCCCACGCGAGGGCATGATGGAAAGATGCATGCCCGTCACGAGGGCATATCAGGCAGGGACCGTTGAATGGGACCCGTGATCCGGTAAGGGCATCCCCAAAAGTTGCACCCCTCACTGGCAGGGGCCTGCAGGAAAGTTCTGAGGCCCCTGGGGCAAATCAGGGTAAGTAGGCCGTCGGAGGGGTATTTCGCAAATAAATGAAACCTTTCGGGGCATTTCAAAAATTTTCCCTATTTCAAATTGGAATGTTGGTCACTGAGTTAAAAAAAACATGGAATCATTGATATCGGCCCCATGAAGACAATGGAAGATCTGTTGCATCGGCTCTGCAAGGGGGGCTGAGGGGGTATTGTTTGGGTTTGGGAGGGTTGATTCCTGTTGCCTGCAGGTCAGGTTGTCAGGTTACAACAGGGGAGACAATTATACCTCTCATTCATCACTTCCCTCGGACTTCAGAGACTCAACTGGGACGGTTTTTTTTTTTTTTCAGCAAAAAATCTTTGGACCATTTCTCGATTAAGCAGGGGCCATGCTAATCTTCTCTTCTCTATTCCATTCCATTTCTTATGAATATCCAGAAGGACAACCCCGAAAGTTGATCGCAGAAGCAGGCGACTCCTTTTTTTTTCTATTTTGTTTTGGGACAGAAACTGTGAAGCAGGTGACTTTGGAAAGATCTCTAAGATTTTATTTCTGGTCTTATTTTTTTTCCCTCCCCCCCCCTCTCAAAAAAAAACAGGCCTTTCATTTCGAATATAACAGCAAGGGGGCCCGGCCACCCCACATAAAGACAGGGTCCGGGAGCATTACCCAGCGTTATGTGTTTGACGGGACCCTATGGGACCCGACCCCGAAGTGCAAGACTTCACTAGAACTCTGTTGAACCTCCCAAAAGCTTCAAACCCTAAAACCCCACCGTCTTCACTCAAAAAGTGCCCGGTCATTATCGCTGCATCTGGACCGGAAGTCGTGCGAAATACAGCTATAATGACCGGGCGTTCTATACGGGTGAAGACAGTAGTTTCCCTTATCCTAACCCCTGACCTGTCTTACTTCCTTTGGATAGCCCCCTTGTGTTCTATCTTGACCTTATTCTCCCTTCCCAATGTCCTCATTTTCCTCCTTCCCGCCAAACTTAATCCCCGGTCGTTCTTTTTTTTTTTTTTTTTTTTACCCCGGGTTTATCCTCTCTTTTTTGTTTTTCGACGGAACTCCAAAGGCGCTGCTAGGGAGGGTGGGAAGAGCGTCATCTCGAGTTTTTTTCTTTTCTTTTCTTTTTTTTGAAGAAAGCCAATCTTTTATTCAGAGAATTCCATTATCTCTGATACCTCTATGTTATCTATATCTCTGAGATTATGAGGTAGTTTTTAAAGTTTCCTGTTAGGTCAGCATGCACACATTGCAACCTATCTCCCCTGTGCGAAGTAACACTGGGTTACTGACTAAATACTGTACAAAACTGAAAAGACCTGGGTACCCAACTAAAATTTACTACTTAATAACACTGGGTTACTAAAGAACACTGTGTAGCTTAATACTAACTGTACAAGACTGGCACGACTGGGTTACTTAACTAGTAACTATTAAATATCTGGAGTTGCCAATTAAGACTTAGATGAAACAAAAGAAAAGAAAAAGAAAAAGGAAAAAACAACAACACTTTTAACAAGTTATATATATGTACAGCACTGGATTGCTATGGACAAGATCAGAAAGACCAAGATCAGAAAGACTCAGAAGAGAAGTTTCGACGATTGGTTGATTTGCAGACAGGAAATAAGTCTGCCACCGACCATGCCCCGACCCGGAACGTCGATGAAGATCTAGCCTGTGGCGCCGCAACCACCAGTGCTTCGGAAGTTCACACGATCAACCTGCAGACAAGAAGCAATGGCATCATGCACAGCTGTTCGAATGAAGAGTATTATCACCCTTCTCTTTCTTGCTGACGCGTGTCATGGACCATCAACCGACCACATGTTCTCAGACATCCGCAAAGATCGAGCTTGTGGCCACACAACACAGTGAGCCGCCAATCTCGGAATTCGACCGTTTGGATGAACATGCTCTCTGAATGGTTGTGTTCCGACACTGGCGGATGCATGTAAACAACCGTATTCTCACGCCGTTTTTAGTTTACCGTGTGTCATCAACCACCCACCGAACACGTCCTCCGACATGCATGAAGACCTAGCTTGGGGGCTGGCTGTGAACCGCCAAACTGCTTTAGAAGCTCAAGAGATCAACCTGCAGACAAGAAGCGATGTCAGAATGCAATCGACTAAATGAGAATAGCGCAGTGTTCCGACCCTTCCTCTTTTACAAAATGAACCTGATGTAATAAGCGCAAAGTTCATGCATCAACCCAACTCCGCATGGCCCAACTGAGGTGCACACTCTCACTCGGCAAACAAGCGCAAATATGAAAACCAAAGCTAACAGACATGGGTAACTCAAGTTATATGTTCCCACCCCCGATTGGCTCAGTTCCCTGCGGCAAAATGGAATTCTGCCCCATGTCTGTCGCTACAGTAATTGCGGAAACCGCACGCCTTCAAGAAGGGCATCACTCGAACACTGCTTGATCGAATGCCCAAATGGCCACTCAGATTATCAGATATGGCGTTGGTGGGGCGCAGTGTATTACGACCTCACGCATAGTGACCACCCAGGGGACCCTGCCCTCATACTGCTAGGGAACATGGACAGCCTCCCCAAGAAATGGGCTTACCTTCAACAACACCTGTCACCAATATACATGCCTGCACCTCCTCATGACAATCTGGAAGGTAAGGTGCTCCTCTGAGAGAATGGAGTGCAGCTATGGCACTTTTTTCCTGTCTTCGAATCCAGAAACCAGTACTACCTTGAGGCCCCGCCATACGCGAGGTGGCAGCCGATGCTGTAAAATGTGAATACCAACAAGAAGTGGACAAAACACAGTAATGGCCTATCACCGCTAAGAAGGACACCGTGGTAAGGACTTGCATCATTGATCTCTTTAACCGACCGCTACTACCTCTGGGCCTCTTTTTGCCGAGGCGGAGTAGAACTGTGCACCGAGCTTTTCTGAAGCGCCAGCGCGACCTTTTTTCTTTACTTTTGGCTGGCGCCACCAGCCATTTAGGTGCGGTGGCAGCCGGCCTCCGAAGAATGCGGTACAGGTGGTTAAAAGACACCTGGGTTGACCCAGACAACAAAAAATCTGTGAGATAAAAGACGAAGGGCGGATCATTAGGAAAAACTGGCAACAAGACGCTGCCTCATGGGAGTGGAGACCCGTGCCACACTTCGCCTCCCTCCCGCCCAGCCAAAGGACAGAGTGAGAGACATCATCACACACCTGCAGGCATCCTCTCGGAGCTGCCGCCCAACACCGGATACGCCCCCACAGCACCCTGACCCCCCTCCTATTACCCCCTCGACCCCTCCTCCAACCGCCGACAACCAGTCCCCCCCACCAGCCTCCTCAACCCTCGTCCCCTCTCCCCATCCCCTCTCCCTTGCAACGTTTGGAACCCAGCGGCGCAGGCCATGAGAGACATCATCACACACCTGCAGGCATCCTCTCGGAGCTGCCACCCAACGCTGGATACCCCCCCACAGGATCCTGACCCCCCTCCTATTACCCCCTTGACCTGTCTCCCCTCGTCCCCTCTCCCTATCCCCTCTCCCGACCGTCTGCCCTCCAATCACATACGACCTTGCAACGCTTGGAACCCAGCGGCGCAGGCCATGAGGAACTTATCTGTTAACCGGGTCATGGTACCAGGGAATCAGGCAACAATGGCTCCAGCGACCAATAGAACGAGGTGCCCGTGGGGGAATCGGGCATACAGACTGCGGACTACCCGACGGCTCACAGCAGACTTTACGTAACAGCAGCGGGCAGCAAGGCTCTCACAAGGCTGAAAGGGTTTCATTTGCAGGCTGCTGCAACACGGATCTGGACACAGTTCGCAGAACACGGGTGCTCCCCCCCCTTGACAAAGGGATTGTCTGTACCCTTCCGTAAGGGACTGGGATCACGGCAAGGGGATTTCATACCTGTTGACTGTCGCCGGGGACGAATCTTCAAGCAAAGCTGCACTCGATGTTGGGGCAATGGTGGTCACAATACATGCAGTGACAATCAGGATACGGTTCTGCTCTCGCATATGGATGGGCAGCCCCCTGGCTGCGTCTGGGGCAATCAATGCCATTCTAGTAATGGTGGCTGTTTGGGCAAAGAATGGCAATAAAAGTGCAGTACTTCTGCCGTTACATAGGGATGGTCAATCCCCTGTCTTGCACCAGGGCAATCAATGCCATCCTGGAAAATTATTTTATGGACGTAATACCAGATGCTGGACCCGGTTCCCAGCACGTGCCGGTCCCCACGAATATAACGGAGCAATCCACAGCCCATCGTCAACCAGCACAGAAGAACATACTACTTTCACCAACGGGGAACATACTCCAAGCACAGAAGCCTTTTTTTTTTTATTATCGTCAGGTTAATCCTTCCTCTGTTTGGTCATGGTACATGACTTGATTGGCAATCCGCATTGTTGGCAGTTTGCATATGTTATCCAAACATAGAACAAAAGAGTTCAGTTCGGTTTCGGTTTGGTTTCCGTTCGGTTTCGATTTCGGTTTCGGTTTCGGTTTCGGTTTCGGTTTCGATCTGGTTTCGGTTTGGTTTTGGTTTGGTTTCAGTCTGGTTTCAGTCTGGTTTCGGTCTGGTTTCGGTTTAGTTTCGGTTTAGTTTCGGTTTGGATCCGGTTCGGTTTCATTTCGTCTTCGGTTCAGTTTCAGTCCAATTTAGGCTCCGCTCACCGGACTAGACCATCACAGCAAGCTTACAAATACAATGTGCTGCTTTCTGCATCATGATGACCATGCAGAGCACAGTACACTCATCCTCGGTACTATCGTTCACACCACCGACTAGCAAGAGTCCTTACTCCTCCCTATTTAGTCCAATTTAGGCTCCGCTCACCGGACTAGGTTTCGGTCTGGTTTCGGTCTGGTTTCGGTCTGGTTTCGGTCTGGTTTCGGTCTGGTTTCTGGTTGTGGAATGTCCCAAGAGTCCCAACCCGTGCTTGTGGAATCTTGACCAAGGTTGGCAAGTGCAGACACGAAGCATCCGCTCACACCAGCTGGGAGCAAGAAGCTTCCTAGGTCAGCATGCTGAGTAGGCCTATGATGAGCACATGTGTGCCTGGTATCACGCCATACAGACAAAGCGACGTTTGTGATAAGAAAATAAGACAGGTAGGTGTTTGAATTTAGGCAAAGAGAGGTACCAAAGTTGGATTAGCATCTCTGATTTTCTCATCACAATTGTCGGGGCGTGGGGTCGAAAGGAGGGGCGACTATCGTGCTATGGGTTCATGTTCCTTTGGCCACCGGAAGAGTTATGGCTCATAATCAATGAATAATAATCATCTCTCCCCGTCATGCCGAGATGCTTGCTTGGTTGTGCCCCGTGTCACCTCACTCCATCAGTGCTGCGATGATGCTCAACTGTCCTCCTCTTACTCCTTTCCTCGTCCCCTCTTCCAAGTCCTGCTGTTGCTGCTGCTCATCGTCCTCCTCCTCCTTCTCCTCCTCCTCCTCCTCCTCCTCCTCCTCCTGCTGCTGCTACTCCTGCTCCTCGTCATCTCACTCCTCTCCTCCTCCTCCTCCTCCTCCTCCTCCTCCTCCTCCTGCTCCTCCTCCTCCTTCTGCTCCTCCTCCTCCTCCTGCTGCTCCTCCGTCGAGAAGAAAATGCACACATAACACAGAACAAAAAGAGGACACACACACACACACACACACACACACACACACACACACACACACACACACAGAGTATTTACCTGAGGCTTCAGTCGCTTACATTTCCTTCTTCATTTCATGTTCGTCGATGTTCTGTTTGATCTTGAGCTGCATTCTCTGGTGGAAACCAGGGTTTGGCTCATAACCGAAAAATTTCTGCATGACCTGGAAGAGGGGCAGGAAAAAAAAAAAAAAAAACGAAAAAAACATTTCACAAAAGGGAAAGCAGAGTGCCAAGCCCCAAGAAGAGAAACACGAAACCCCCACCAGTTAGCACACAGCCGCGAGTAGGCACGGACTGCTGGTCGCAAAAAAAAAAAAAGCTGGCACGCACCAACTCGCCTTGCTCAGTTGGTACACCGCTTAACTGTTGAAATGCAGATCTGAGTTCCAACTCCACTGGAAGCAGATGAGTAAAAACACTGCAATTCTACATTACCTGGGCCAGGCCGTAACCCTTTATAAAAAAAGGGAAGGGAATGAAAAAAAAAAAAAAAGCTGGCAGTGCCAGGCAAATCTCATGCTGCTTAGGGGCCAGCGACAATCAGCACTGGGAACAAAAAAGGGAAGGAAAAAAAAAAGAAAAAGAAAAAAAAAAGGAGACTCGGAACCACGGGGTGGTTTAAGGACTGGCAAAGGGACCCGACCAGCTTCCCCCGAACATAACGCACCCTGATAACGACTGTATAGCAGCCATTTTTCCGGATACAGTCATATTGCGGGTGTGTTGTGTTCAGGGGAAGACCGTAGTACCCCCTACACACTATTTGCTCTGGCATGCAATCTGTAAAACAAGACAATCAAGTTGAAGAGACAGAGAGAGAGAGGGTCAACTGATCATCACTTGTAGGAGTCAAACTCCCAATTACTGCCGGAAGTTACTTAAAAACAAAAAAAATCGTTTCTTTTTTTTTTTTGGTCTGTGTGTTGTGCTGTGCTGTTTTGTTTTGTTTTAAACAAGGAAAGAAGGGTCAACGGCTTCACAAAAAAACGGCTTCAGAAAAAACTGCTGCAGAAAAAAACTGCTTCAGAAAAAAGCAACTGGAAAGGAAAGGAGAGCGCTCTCTGGAGGTGTGGTGATCAGCCCGGCCAGGCGTCCATGGATGCGCAGGAAGCAGAGCAGATGAAAGCGAGACTGCTGGACACACTCACACTGCGTGGGCTCACTGACCTCCAGCAAAACGAAGTAGGGCGCCGTGAGAAGTGCCTGTACTAAGTTGTCGAACAATGCCGGCCTTCGACCCTGGATGAAACACCAGTCCAAATACATATATATACACCACAGGATCAAGAAAGAAGGCAAGCCAAATGAACAACAAGTCGGATAGAGAGGGTAAGAAACTGCAATTGATGAATCCGTCTGTAAGCAGCCAGCTTTCGTCCTTAGTGAAATACCAGTACATGAACATACATACATACATACATACATACATACATACATACATACATACATACATGCATACATACAAACATACATACATACATACATACATACATACAAACATACATACATACACATACATGTAGACATACATACATACATACATACATGCATACATACATACACACATGAAATGGATGTAGACATACATACATACATACATACATACATACATGCATGCAGACAGACAGACAGACATATAAACATACATACATACATGCATATAGACATACATATGCATA